GTTCCACATCGCCAGTCATTATTTCCTCCACATACTGAAAAGGCTCACTGACCCGCTGCCAGTGTTGTGCCATGTCTGTGTGATTTTAACCACAGGCCAACCAAAGACAATTACATTAAAACTCCTTAGACTTCAAAGTGCAAAGGAGGGGTTACAAGCGGATAGTGCGAGCTATGAAAAAAATGTTTTATTATTCTAATGATTACAGCAGTAAAGACACGAGCCTTTGAGGACTGGCGTTTGGTCTTTTCCTAACAGCTGAGACAGACATTTTCCCCAGTGTTATCTCTCACAACAGGAACAGACGCCGTCTCCAGCCTTCTTTTGTGGTCTACAGTGAAATGTTGTATCAATAATACACCGAGACAGTATACAGGGGGTATGAATTATTGAAAGGCACGGTGGTTCGGCTGGGGTTCTAATCTCCACAGAGCAGTTAATTTGATGTTCTTGTTTTTCTGTTTTGGAATCAACCTGCAATGCACCATCCATCCCTGCAAATATCACAGGCAGAGAGGAGCAGGCCACTGGGAACTAAATGAATGATCTACTGATGCTAATGTCCTCTGCCAGCCGAGGTCTTGCTTAATAAACCTCAAGATGAGACAGCCGTGTGAGAAATAACATGATGAAAAGTAAGCCTCGTCAATTCAAGCCCACACACCTGAAAGTGTGGCCGATAATGACAGTGGAATTAGTAATGAGGATGAGTGAAGGGGCATTTGTCCATTTAGGGGCTACAAAGGCTTAAGGGTTATGCTTTGTAACCTGAATCAGGGCTCTGGAGGGAATATCAATATCTAAGGCAGGCGGCTGATTAGTGGGAAATGTTCACTCAGCAGAGTGTGAGACACTGATCTGACTTTTAATTTATCTCGTTTAAAAAGTCATGTGCTGGTTTTCACAGCAGGTGCATCCAGACTAATACTCAGCATTGTTTGGGATATTATCAGCCAGCTTAAGAGTCAACAAACTGGTCAATAAAGAAAATGGCATATTATCTCCCAGTCGCATCAGGACAGGGAAACTGGAGTCTCAGACTTTCTAATTAGTCGTTCTTATTTTATCATAATCTGTTTGAATCTGTTGAAGGGACGCTCAGCTGACAGCGGGGGACTTAGAGGGAAATTTGCTCTAGTGAAATGGCTTTGCTGCTGTGAGCATGATAGCTGCAGATATTTTCAAACAGCTGCAAGCCAAATGTGCCCTTTTTTTGGACTGCACACAGGGGAGAAAAAAAGATTCATTTTTTCAGTTCTCATATTTCCTTAAATGGTGAGATGAAGATGTGTGAAATGTTAAATGAAAAGTTAAATGAAAAATATCCACCAATTTGCAAACCGTTTTTACAGATTTTCAGGTTATGCTCAGTTTTTTCCAGTTAAAGATGTGATTAGTCGTATAATCTGTGTATGAAATTAAAAGCAGATAGAAATCGGAGAAATTAGAGTTTGAATTTGATACTTTCCCAAAAGTCTGTACAGGGGCTGACAACCAATACATTTCCTTATGTTAAAAAGACACCTGGTACAACATCTCACTTTCAGTTAGCATTTTAGATGAACAGGTTACATGAATGTTTATAAAAAGCATCCCAGAGAGGCTGAATTTATCTAAAGTAAAGATGGGGAAGGGTTCAGCAACTTAGGTTTCTCGCTGTTCTCATTTGTGGTACGTAATGTTATCTAAAGTTTCAGAGAACCCAGAGAAACCCAGGGAAAAGCTGTGAACCAAGAGTGAATCTTTGGGCCCTCAGACAGAACTGGGTTAAACATAAACATGATTCTGCACTGGAAATTACTGTGTGAGCACAGGAACACTTCTAAAAACCGCTGAGTGTAAACACAGTGTGTTTGTTTCAACAAATATAAGTTAAAACTCTACCATGAAATTACATAAAAAACATAAAGATCCGAAACCAGCTGCTGTCCCTTGTCCATAGAGCAGTTACGATGGGCTAAGCTGAGGTGAAAAACGTATGTGGTGTGTGGTCCTTTTTGGAAATGGTATATTATTCACAATCACCATCACTGATTGTGATCTACACCCGTTTTCACACCTTGGCTCGTGTGATTGGGTAGAAGATCATTACGGGGTCCATTGTCCCTCTTGGGGGGACACTCCCACAGGGCTTAAATCTCCACTATTTGACCCTAGAACTGAAGAAGCTTCTTGGATGAGAGGTGAAACATCTTCAAGAAAACTTAAAGAAGTCAGGAAGCTTTTCTTTCCAAGTGCTTTAGAGTACCATGACCTGGATGACTGAGAACCTTCACAGACACAATAACTATTAAAAACATGAAGAAAGAAGAGATCTAATACCAAAGAAAAAGACTGGGAAGCGAAATCTTGCTTTTAAAAATAAACCAGCTGATCTCCACAGTTATGAAGAACAGAGGTTTCTAAAAAAGAGGTGATGCAGCAAAATTGTAAACGTGCCCCTGCACTTTAAAAAATGAACGTTTTTTCAAACAATAGCATTTCTCAGTATTGTCTGTGCAGACTCAAACACTGCCGCCCCAATATGACAAGTCGTAGCACTTTTAAAATCAGCCTTATGTGTTTTTGTGTGTATTTAATTTACTGATCAATTAAGAAATGGAATAATTGAGTTAAAATAAGAAGAGCAATTCACAGAAAAAACAAAACAAACAAACAAAAAACATTCCTATTATCTTACAAATTTACAAATTGGAACAAATATGTCAAAAACAAAATGAAAATCAGGCTGATTTGTTAGCAAAATTAAATTGTGATCTCTGTTTGATTTCATTACAGTAGCTTACTTGTGGTCCTTATGCTATTTAGAAGTAGAATGGGAAGCAGAGCCTTCAGCTGCCCGACCCCTCTTCTGTAAAGCCAGCTCCCTGTTTGGATTCACACTGGATCAGGTGACCCTGAACCCTCCATTAGCTTTGTTCCAATAGCTCTAGACTGCTGGAGTATTTCATCTTCACTCACTTTTTTCACTCACTATGTGTTTATACTCTGTGTGTTTAATTAGTTTTTATTCATTTCTAGCTCTCTTCCACAATGTAGGATTCTTCCCATCAAGAACTGTCGCCAACTGCATGCTTATGGGGGACCCTTGGAGTTTTCTCCATGTCATTGTAGGATCTTCGCCTTACAATATAAAGTGCCTTGGAGTGTGAGCTTTTGGTGCTATATAACGAAAACTGAAAAAACTAAACTGAATGAACAAAACGTGTGACCACAGATTGCGTTTTGGCAATTACATGGTAGTAATATGTGTAATTTTTTATTTACTGTGATTTGTGATGAATAAGTTGTCACTTCAGTCTAAACCTATAAATCTTTTATTTAAATGTCAGTTTTATTACGATCCTGCATTGTAAGTCCTCTCGATGAACAAAAACTCAAATCTCTCTTTCTGCTGTAATCAGTGTTGCACAAAAATACGTGACACATTTCTTCAACCCCAACCTACACATCCTCCAACACTATCAGAAGCAGCTTGTCTTTAGCTTCCTTGTGGCAGAAGGAATTTGCATCAATGGCCACATAACATGCAATGGCATGTAATGTCCCCACAGCTCGGTAGTAGATGCCAGTGGCACTGTGATGTACGTTCAATTTCTCTGCTGAGGATGATGTGAGGTGACAGTGGATTTGGTCAGGATTGGTGTGACATGCACTCTTTGAGCAGGGGCCCATCTTCCAAAAAAGCAGCAACAAATAACATTTCCTGTTTGCTCTGCACCTGCTGACGAATCTAAAGACTCTTTTTTTTTCTGTCAAACACAGAAAGCTCAATGCAGTGCATGTGAACTTGCAAGCAAACTCTCTGGTTAGAAAAGGGAACATGAAATCAGATGGATTATAAAAAGAATCCAAATTGGGGTTATGGATAAATAATATGCAACAGTTAATGGAAATTGGCGTCGAAATAGTGTTCTGATAGACTTCCTATTTTAAACAATCTGTTCTTCTGTAGCTTGAATTTGCTTCATTTTTTCATGCAAATTATTCTGTAAAAGTGTATCAATCGTGTCACTCTTCATGTTGTACACAGACATTTAACATTTAAATCCCATTTACTAAAAATCTTCACACAGTGAGACCTCAGGGAAGTCTGCCTTTCTAAATCTATAAAGCAACAAATCCTTCAAACACCCTGGTGTATTTGACAGTGTTATCTGCAGTGTAAGTAAATTAAATCAAGCTTCCCCCGCTTTTAGAAAACTCATGCAATATTTGCTAGATTGAAAATTGCAAATTCTCATGACTAGAATTTGTAGCAGGGAAAAAATACACACAAATGCTGGAGCCTGTTGTCGAGCTGCTGCATTTAAAATATATTTGAAGAGAGGGATTATTCCTTTAAAGAGAGTGAAGCCCACTACAAGTGCAAGAGCAACAGATGCGCAAGGCTGCAACAGATGTGTAAATCAGCCCTCATGAATAAGTCAAAAATCCCCTTTTTTATTATGCCGAAACTTTGCCGTACAGATTAAACGCACGACTATCCTGCTTTTCCACAAGCTGCAGTTACATGTGTTCAGATTTCTATTTAGAGGCATAAACCATACATGCCTGAAAATGTTTTGATTTTATTTTGATTGTAAGCTGTGTATCACTCAGTCTTAAGGCTTATCCATTACAGTAAAGCAACTCTGCCCTCCGGAGCAAACTGATGAGTCAATGGGAATTTGTTTTGTTGTTGTACACCTTTTGCTCCCCGTTGCCCTGAGGTCACAAAAACTCATTAAGGATATATAAATGGCCACGAGTGTTCAGTGAAAGCCCTGTCCGAGTAACCATCTCTGAGCATACATGTGGGCAATAAATAGAAAAGGACAAGCACATGTTTAAGCAGATTGCTGCTTTCTTCGACTTTTGCATGACAGAGAAGCATTCACAAACAAAATCCATTACTATAAGCTCTGCTCTTGGAAACAAACGAGCATGGAGCCATACAAAGCACAGAGAAAGTGCTGCCTTACAACCAGTGCACATCAGGAGCTAATGATATTACTCACCCGGTTCTTTGTGGTCAGAGCTGTGGCCAGACAATAGGAAAAGGAAATCCTGACAGGTGTCCTGATCCAACGATGTGCTGTTGTGCAGGCAGAGGTCAACAATTAGGGTCACAGCTCTCTGACAGACCATGTCATCCTCCTCTCTGTCAGAACTCATGCTCCCAGCTGCATCCTCAGCCGCGTGTGCTCATCCAAGGGGACCAATACTCCCACGCACACACGCAGCAGGCTGGCATGCAGAAGATAAATGCAACTTGTCTCCGTCCTAGGCTGATTCTTCTCCTTCTTCTGCCGTCTCTCGAGTGTGTGTGCGTGTTTTCTTGTGTGCGTGCGTGCGTGTGCTTCACTTTCTTTGTGAGTTCATGTGTGTAAGCTTGTCCCAACATTGTGTGTGCGTGTGTGTAAGATGGACCAATATTTTTTAGTGCATAAACATGTGGTGTTTGTGCCGCTGTGTCCATGTGTGTGTGTAACTGTGTTTTGTAGACTTAATTAATCACATTTATCCCCATGTGTTATAAGTGCAGAATGATTGCATCACATTGACAGCAGGAAAGCAAGTCAAACAACAAACACTGATTTCAGTCAAACCTGCGTACTGTATACTATAAAATGTCAGAGCTTGATGACACCTTCAAGCCCCCTCACCTTTGGCTGTTATGCCACCACACATTCGTTGACTTTTAAAAAACCCACAAGACTTGTTTTTCTCCAGTTGTCTAACATGGCTGGTCCCTGCAGGTCAGAGACTCCCCTGACACGAATTTCCCCTGAGCTGAACCACCTGTAACTACCAGGTCTCAGTCCCACAGACAACCCCCTATCGGTTCAATTGTGATCCCTTAATGACCTGTAATGATGATGGTTCACCTCTTTGTGAGTAAGCAGGGCTCCATATAATGGTTACTTTACTGATACACACTCATGCACTGTTTATACTCTAAAATACAAACTCAAATAGCCAGCAGTTTATACAGCTAGAGTTTCAGCTGACATCATGTTTGGAACCAGAAGTGATCATATTTATGTGGAGTGATGTGTTATCAGCTAAACTGCTACTGAGCTTGGTTAGCAAGATATCTATAAACTGTGCATAAAGCAGATACCAGTGGAGTAGTAACACAGTATTCATTTCACACTAAAAATTATACAAAATTGAAGCTCAAACTTTTGGACTTTCTGTACCTCTCAGCAAACAAAGTGTTTATTGTCATATGTACAGAAGAAATAGCATTTCTCTATGCAATAAAGTTCTTCCTTTGCTGTCCATACAGAAATGCCAAGTAAGGTAAGGGTTAAAAGAACATGATGAATAAAGATAAAAAATAAGGTTAAAAAATAATGGAAGATAAATAAGTACAAAAATAAGTAAGTCAAGACAAGTGAGGTATGCAGATGTCGATGTAGATGGATGTACAAAGGAGCTTAATGTGCAAAATGAACTTAGTGTGCAAAGTGTCCTGATGTGCAATCCAAGCTAATATTTCAATACTGAATAACTAATAACTCAATAAATATCTAGTTGTGGATGAAAAATGTTTCCAAATTGAAATTGTGCTGACATCAGAGGCATACCATTGCCATTTGTTGCATACCCTTCATGAATGTTTGGATGTCCTCCTTGGATGCTGGAGTCAAAACCCCTTTGAATAGAGAATGATTGGCAGATTTATTAGACCATCTTTTTTTTTTAAAAAAAGTATAAAAACACAAATATTTTAAAAATCTCTTAAATGCATGTTTTAACTAAAAACAAATCAATTCACCTTTTTATACTTTTTAGTCAGAAGTTAATCAAGTATAACATTCAACTACTAAAACAAATCCTTCTGTTCAGGAATTTGCATCTTATTTAAGACTATTTTTCTGCTTTTTGTAAAACAGAGTATTTGTAAATGCATGCATAACAACAATATTTTACTTTATCACTGAAAATATTGTGTTCATTACACCTTGTATATACTGATGGATTAATACAATACAATACAATTCAAGTTTATTTATATAGCACATTTAAAACCAAAGGTACACCAAAGTGCTTCACAGCAAGGTTAAAACATAACAGATATCAGATCATAACAGGGAACAAATAAACTAACAAGGGAGAAACGCTAGTTAAACAATCAATACAGATAAAATAGGAAATAAAACATCTGAGCACTGAGTATTTGTAAATATAAGGTGGGGGTATTTATACAGTGATACATAAAATAGAAGATAAATAACATAGGGATAAATATAGGGAATGAGCACAAATGGTAAGTCTTTAACCGTGATTTAAATGAATGGATGGAATCAGAGGCGCGAATAGCTGCAGGAAGACTGTTCCAGAGGTTAGGGGGTTGCCAGGGCAAAAGCACGGTCTCCTCTGGTCTTTAGCCGGGACCTCGGCTGCACTAGGAGTAATTGTCCTGATGATCTTAGGGCTCTCCTAGGGGTATACGGACTGAGAAGTTCAACGAGGTAGCACGGCGCAGTATTGCTCATGATTTTAAAGGCAAGCAACACAATTTTAAACTCAATGTGGAATTTGATAGGAAGCCAATGCAGGTCAGCAAGGACTGGGGAAAAAGAGGCAAACCTTCTGGTTCCAGTCAAAAGGTGTGCCGCAGCATTCTGGACAAGCTGCAGTCTATAAAGAAGGGCAGAGTGGAGACCAAAGTAAAGGGAATTACAGTAGTCTAATCTAGAGGTCACAAAAGCATGGATAAGCACTGAGTAGGACCTATCCGAAAGATACGATCTAAACCAGTTAAGGGCACTACCCCTTATGCCTACTGTATGTTCAAGCCTCATTAAGAGGATATTATGGTCCACGATATTGAAGGCAGAAGTCAAGTCCAATAGAACTAAGACCGTAGAGCACCCTGAGTCAGCAAATACAAAAAGGTCATTAAGGACTCTCAGCAGCGCTGTTTCAGTGCTATGGCATAGTTTAAAGTCAGACTGGAATTTATCACTGATATTATTTGCATCCAAGCAGTTGCAGCAGATGGCCCCGCCCCTCCCTGAGCCTGGTTCTGCCGAAGGTTTCTTCCTGTTAAAAGGGGTTTTTCCTTCCCACTGTCGCCAAAGTGCTTGCTCATAGGGGTCATATGATTGTTGGGTTTTTCTCTGTATGTATTATTGTAGGGTCTACCTTACAATATAAAGCAGTTGTTGTGATTTGGCGCTGTATCCTTAAAATTGAATTGAATTAGAAACATAAAAGATTATTTCTTCAGTATATAGCAGAACTGTTAATTTAGGGCAGCTGTGGTATAAATCTTACACTGGGTCGTAGTCTAATAAATATAAGCACTATATCCATGCTGAATGAATGAAAAATATTGTCTCGTGAGAAGAATAGAGATTCTTAAAAAGGCAAAATTGTAACCTTCCTCAGAAATTAATCTTTTAGCCCAGTGAGGTGATTAAAAATAAGAAGCTGCACCATTTGGATGAGAGGCAAAGGCGTTGGAAGGCTAGGAAGTAAGTTAATCATATAACAGATGAGACGGAATTCACATGTAATGAAAATTACCTACATTTAAAAAACATGCTTCTGGTTATAGTCTGGAGGGGATGTTATGTGGTTGTCTGATCATAACAGTAACCAAATACTTATCAGGAGACACAAATCCCTGAGAGGATTGCATCAGGAACACCATCTGGCAAAAAAATCAGATCAAATATGGTGCTCCAACTGCCTTGAAGGGAGCAGGCGAAAGAAGCGTGGAAGACAATATCTGCTTGACTCAGCCACTGTTTGTCAAGTAATTTTATTATAATGTTCTAAATGGCACCAACAATACCAATTAATCCAGTTCAGAGACTCAAATTAACAGAGGTAACGCCCATCAGACATGAAATGACTGCACCTGCTTCTGTTAAGACATGCGGAGATGTAATCAGTCTCCTACTGATGAAGTTGTTAGCCTTTTTTGTTTGTTTGTAGCGGGTCATGCTTATTTCTGCAGACAGATTTCCTGAAGAACTGCAGTTTTGTGCACTTGGCTTAATTTTTCAGAAGGCTGATTGTTGTTCATACGTTGCCAGTTTTTTTGAGGTATAGAGTAGCATAATGTTCTGTAATTTTCTCCACCCTGGGTATATCAATGAAAGTAACACAAACCTCTGTCTTTATAATGCAAATCACATATATGCAAAAAGCTGAATCAGCTCTTCTCGTAATCTGCTTCAGGCAAAAACTGAGCATTACTGTTGAGCTATACTGTATTACTGTATCACATGTATCAAAGCAGCAGAAATAGCTAAGGCAGGTTTATGTGTTTGTTTTATATATGATTGATCACAACTTTGCAGGCTGTGTAAAGCTGGGAAATTGCCTGTCGGGACCTTGCAGCCAATGAAGCTCAAGAAAACACATCTCTGATCCCTATGCTATTTTTCCCCAATCCTCTGAGGATTTATCTCAAATTAATTCTCATATTGTAACTGATTAGATGTATTTATTTTCAAATTAAAGCAGTGAAGAAGAAGAAGAAACTAATTAGCTTGACTTTTCCTCTAAATTACGTTGAACTATATGTGAACTTCCTTGAACTTATCCCTTAATTATGTTCTTCCCAACTTAACCGTTAATCAAAGTAATTTAATAAACTCTGTGATGACTAAGGCCTCGGAAAAATTATTTCATGCCTATCTAATCACAATGTGATATTGAGTTTAACCAGATGTTGTTTGACTCCCATCCTTAATCGAGTTTAACCAGGGCATAAATACTACGGCATCTACATCGGTGGACTATTGTTCTGAGATAGCTAAGGTAATTGGGGGCTTATCAAAGTCTCTCTCCTCTGTCCCTCAAAGGTTGGATCTGGAGTCTACTGTGCTTCCTGTTTCTGTAAGATTGGATCTGTTCTTCTTGAGTGATCCTGATTAACAGGCAAATAAAACGTTTCTGGCTGTGTGTTTTCCAACTGCAAGCAGGTTCACTTCTACCACAAGCTCACATGTCAAAACAAAACAAGTTCATAATTACGTACAGTGCTGCTAACACCGCCAATATAACAGATTTAATGGTGAAAGAAAGCAGACCCGGGTGTAGAACTTCTTCCTTGTGTAATTGCATTGCTTAGAAATAATGTCCAAGGATGTCCGATAATAATGCAGCTCTGTGAACTGGTGTCTTGTTAACTGATATTCCATCACTCT